AACAGTCTAGTCTAGATCCATCCTCTTTGGAACCCCCTTTCAGGTAGTTGAAAGCAGCTATCAAATCCCCCCTCATTCTTCTCTTCTGCAGACAAAATAATCCCAGTTCCCTCGGCCTCTCCTCATAAGTCATGTGCTCCAGCCCCCTAATCATTTTTGTTGCCCTCCGCTGGACTCTTTCCAATTTTTCCACATCCTTCTTGTAGCGTGTGGCCCAAAACTGGACACAGTACTCCAGATGAGTCCTCACCAATGTCGAATAGAGGGGAATGATCACGTCCCTCGATCTGCTGGCAATGCCCCTACTTATACAGCCCAAAATGCCGTTAGCTGTCTTGGCAACAAGAACACACTGTTGACTCATATCCAGCTTCTCGTCCACTGTAATCCCCAGGTCCTTTTCTGCAGAACTGCCGCTTAGCCAGTCGGTCCCCAGCCTGTAGCAGTGCATGGGATTCTTCCGTCCTAAGTGCAGGACTCTGCATTTGTCCTTGTTGAACCTCATCCGATTTCTTTTGGCTCAATTCTCTAATTTGTCTAGGTCCCTCCGATCCCTACTCTCCAGTGAATCCCCCACTCCATCCTCCCCAGTCTTCTGTGGGTTGATGAACTAACCAGCCTTGGTACCTGGCATGGAGAGTAAAAGCCTCTGAGGAGATGTGTCCCTGCATTTCATTGTGAGCAAAGACTCATGGATCCAGAGTGGAGTTTGGAACCAACCAGGATCCCCTGTTTCCAATCAATAGGAAAGCAACAGTGGAGAAAAGACAACGAGATTGGGATGTAAGTGTCTAGTCACTAGCGTAGGAAGAACCAATACCCTGTGCCAGGTCCTGCCCATTTAGATTGGTGGAGCCCACTGAAGTCAGAAGGCCCGCAGGGGGGTAAGAATCTGAGATGAAATTCTGGTCCCACTGAAGTCAATGGCAAAACTCCCATTGACATCAGTGGGGCCAGGATTTCACCCCCATGTCTAGTTTAAGTAACCCATAGACTACTTTTCCCAGGCTCCAGCAATCTTCACTGAAGGGACAGAAGGGATAGTTAGAAAGGGAAGAAACTTGTGCCAATTGGAAACTTACTGCAGCCCTTACAAGGTAACCTGAAGAGAGAAAAAAAGAGGCTATTTCAGAATGAAAGCCCCAAGAGACACGGACATCGAACACATCCTTAATTATACAGACCTGGGCCTTGTGCTAAATGCATTAGGGAGCTTCGTGTTGGCTATACAAGCATTACAAGGAAAAGCTCAATGTTCCCTAGAGAAACCACTTGTGGGATTTCCAACCCCAAAACTTCAGCAATTGTGAATTTTTACCAGGGAGGGTAATTAACCATTGGCACAATTTACCAAGGGTCATGGTAGGGCTGGTCTACACTGGGGGGGAGGGAAGGGATCGATCTAAGTTACGCAACTTCAGCTACGTGAATAACGTAGCTGAAGTCGATGTACTTAGATTGACTTACC